TAAGAACTTTTTTACCTTCAAATCCGTGGTTGAAGAAGATATTTCAGAAAGGTTCAAATCGTCTGACCATATCTGTTGTCGGTCCTTCTCATTCAGGCGAGTACTGGATCGACCCCGACCAGGGCTGCACTCAGGATGCCATCAAGGTCTACTGCAACATGGAGACTGGCGAGACCTGCGTGTCTCCCATGCAGAGTGAGGTTGCCAAGAAGAACTGGTACGTCAGCAAGAACATCAAGGAGAAGAAGCACGTCTGGTTCGGCGAGACCATGAACGACGGCTTCCAGGTGAATACAGCGAAAAACCGCTCCGAGGACTTTGTTTCTTTCTCGACCTGCGGCCCTCGGTTTTTAAACCCTCCCGACTTTTCTCTTCTCCCCAGTTCGAGTACGGCAGCGAGGGCGCTCAGCCTGAGGATGTCAACATTCAGCTGACCTTCCTGCGTCTCATGTCCACCGAGGCATCCCAGAACATCACCTACCACTGCAAGAACAGCGTCGCCTACATGGACGCCTCCGCCGGTAACCTCAAGAAGGCCCTGCTCCTCCAGGGCTCCAACGAGATCGAGATCAGAGCCGAGGGCAACAGCCGCTTCACCTACAGCGTCCTGGAGGACGGTTGCACGGTAAGGAATCGTTCACTGATGCTTTCCGGAACTTTCTACTGACAAAACTGCATAAGAACTTCTGGCGTTCCAGTGTATATATTTATATATATTTATATATATTTGCAGCCACAACAGTTTAGGCTGTTTTTTACCTTGGAACCTCGATTCTGATTGTGCTTGTTTCTCTTTTCTTCCAGTCACACACCGGTTCATGGGGCAAGACAGTCATCGACTACAAGACAACGAAAACATCTCGCCTGCCCATCATTGATATTGCTCCTATGGACGTTGGCGCTCCAGACCAAGAGTTTGGCCTTGAAGTTGGACCCGTCTGTTTCTTGTAAAAAGAGAAATCTGGACTTGAAATTGTTGTTGTGTGTGTGAGTGTGTTTTATTTTTTTCTAGCAGTCATCTCTCTCTAAAAAAAAATGCCCACCAAAACATTCTCCTAATGCCATTTTTTTCTGAAAAAATCCAACCCCTCACTCCTGATTCTACGGTTTCATTCGGCCATTGTTCCGATGGTCCACTTTGCCTAAAACCTGCACTTCGACAAGATGGCGGTGATGTGGCAGCATCTACATCATTGTTTTGGGACCACTACTTTTTTTTTGTTTGTTTCTGACTTTCTTATTTTCAATTGTTTTTTTCCATCACCAACACCACGGATCCTGTAGAGAAGACATTTTGTTTCACTGGCAACAAGAAAATAATATATGCTTCTGTAAAGTGTAAAAAAATAACTTCCCCTCTTCAAAACCAGGCCTCTCTGGAGTTTACAGAAACCAACTCAAACACACACAGTTGACTTTTGTATTTTTGTACACCACTGCGGTGAGAGGATTGAAAGGACAGCCCCAACAGACAGAACCAATTTCTTTGTACCACGTTTCAGGTGTTGATGAATAAACGGTGAAACTGACAGCCATGTTTGTCTCTGTCGTTCTGCCCCCGACCAGACTGACAGCTCTTTTCCTTTCCATCTGCTGCTGATGTTGCAGCTGTTGTGATGAGTTTGTTGTTGTGGACACTTTCTTGTCTGTTTGTTTCTCTCGCTTTTTTTTTTTTTCCAAAAACAAAGTCACATTAAAACCACCAGCAGAGAAACATGGGTTTAACCTCTTTTTTGAAAGGAAAATCTAACGGCTACCTCAGAGAGCAGGGAAAAACAGCTTTGGGGAAAAAAAAGGGCCCAGTGTTGAGAGGTGCCTGCTGTAGTTGTGTCGTTGTGATGGGGCCGATGGGGAAGTCCACATTTGCTTACGCTTTATCAGAAGCAGAAACATCTAAATCTTGAGGTGCTATTCTTCCTCTGGGGCCTGACTGTGTTACTGTGGTGCAGCGTGGTCCTGGACCTGGTGCTAAAATGAAAAGAGCTCAACTTGTTGATGTCCAGACTGAGACAAAGTTCTTCTCCCTCAGCTTCCTTAGTGCTGGCTGTGAAACTAACTTTAACCTCCTGTTCTTGGCCTTGACCTCATCTGTCAATCACACTCTCCTCCACCTCCTCATCCACACAACTGTTGTGGCTGCTTTCTGACTTTCCTGTGTGAAGGGTGACATTTCTCAATGGAGAAAAAAAAAAAAAGTAATTGGCAACAAAATGCACAAAAGAGCCAACATTTGTGAGAGAAGGGAGACAGACACACCGACGGGGCGAAAACACCACGAGGATCTGTACCTATTTTGTATATGTATAATAAATTGAGATGTTTTTAATTATTTTGAATGCTGAAATAAAGCATGTTAAGTGGTCTAACATTGAATCCTGCCTAATTGAGTGACTCGCTGACTGCCCCCCCCTCCCCCAACTCCCTCACCCCCTCACCCCTCACTTGATAAGGCAGCTGTAGTTCAGACCGTGTGAGTGTGTGTATGAAGAGGAACTGTGTGAGGCCAATTCAAAAGAAATGGAGAAAAAAAACAAATGGAACAAAGAAGAAAAAAGAAGTTTTACCTCAACACATTTGACAAGAAAGGACAAGGACACATCGGCATGCAGTTGAGTGCAGCCTGGGCTTGAACCCTTCAGCTGCTGCTGTTAATCTGAACACAAGTAGAACCTCATTGGATGTGTGTTTGGAACAGGATGTGAACTGTGTTGTGTGTGAATCAACAACCTGAATTCTCCTGGTGTGAAACACGGTCCACACCGTCACCATCAACGTCTCAGTTACTAAAACCAACGCTCATTAACACAAATACAAACAGGACCTTACCTCTCAGAGCATCGCTGCTCCCTGCTGTTCTCTGGAAGTTCTACACGTCCTGTGACCCTTCTCCAGGTCCATTGTTGGAAGACTCTTAGTCCACAGGGGGGAGCGCAGACGTCTTTAAAATCACATGACAGATAAACGATGAACTCATGTAACGAAGGTTGTTTCTGTTTTCCTCAGAGTAATCCATGTCTTCCACGGCGAGGCGGACCGTCTGCGGCGCTCACTCAGCCGATGTGATGTGAGGGGGCTGCAGACTGACCCTGTTCTGTGGGCATCAGCTCGGCCTCACAAAGACACTGATTGTCCACCTTGAGTCAGCCACCCCCCCTGGAACCCAGGATAGGTTTGCAGTCCCGGTGGGAATGTGGACCATTTCTGCAAGAATTTGCGTCTTTATATTTGAGGCCTGGGCAGAGGAATGCTGACCTCTCCAGTTACAGACACACACCGAGCTCTGTGTGCAAAGAGGAAACACATCTGCAGGTAAATATCAGAGGGATGTTGATCAGAGGGAAGCCAAGGGTAAGGGGGAAAAAAACAACAAAAAGACAGGAATATATTTGGTTTAAAAATGGTTTAAAAAATGCCAGGTTGTATTTTTTTT